TGAATACTTATGCAATGTGATATTTCAGTTTTTCCTTTTTAATAAATTTACAGACATTTCTAAAATTCTGTTTTAATTCTGTTTCCACAGGGCAGGTGCTGCCATTGAGAAGGCACGACTCCTTATATTCCAAGATCTGTAGATCCCATCAGAAGAAATGCTCATCCCCTCTACAATTTCAGTGTCCTCAGTTTGCCGAGACTATGCTGCCATGCTAGCCCAGTTGCTCTAGGGCTTAGGAAATTCCTTCAGGAATTAACTAATTCTGGGACTTCAGGCTGCATATCACCTAAAATAGTGCATTTCTTTCAAGCTTTGCTTGGACACTGTTGTTCTTACAGGCTTATAACCTGATCTGTATTACTATGTCACTCTGGTTTTTTCGTTTTTGAAATGGGATGCTCACAAAAATAAATATTACTGTATAGACATCACAGACTTCAGCCATTTTAGAGTGGGGAAAATGTTGCCAACCAACACCCCCTCTCTCTCCCTGCTCCCTCTGCTTGAGTTCACTGAGAAAATAACAGCTTTGTTATGAAATATCCAGAGTGTTCCTTTTCAGTTCATTTTTATTTGTTAACCTCCGACTACATTGGATGAAATACACATTTCCAACTAACAAAAGTACTGAAAATGTGGATCAAAAGCAGGTGGGAAGAGGAGAAAACTGTTAAAGCAATACCCTTTAGCCCTTCAAATGGAGCTCTGGAATTATTTTAAATATTTAAACAAGTTGGAATTTAGATTGTGGGAACTTGTCATTCTTAACTCAGCCCCATCCCTCTTCTAAAATGAGAAAAAGTTCTGCTACTCCTTACCATGATTTGATGCTAGGTGTGGCGGTGGTGAACAAGGGCTAAAACTGATTAGAATTAACTCTTAATAAGGTAACCATTGGCCTTGTTCCAAATAATCCTAAAACAAAAATGATTTTTTTTGCTTTTAACATAGTATAATATGTGTGTCTATCCATTATGGCTTAATATTACATACAGCCTGTTTAACAAACATAGTTAATATTCTTAATGTACAGTAACACTAGATGACAGCCAGGCCTAAAGTACATCTTAACACTAGCATTAGCACAAAGAAGTAACCACACATACAAATATATCTCATGATTAAAAGCAGTGGAGTAAATACACAGGGTAGGAGATGGGTTGAGAGAAAAAGCAGTCAAAACGACAGCTACAACTATTAATGGCTGAGTACATGATATATCTGCATCAGGCCCTGAGTGTCGTGTCATGTGTCATTTCATTTCATCCTTAGATATTTCAAAAATCTTCCCAAATGATATAGCACTCCAAGTAAAGCCAGGATCATTTCTATGAAACCTGTGCTTTAAAATCATTGGCTTTTCATCAGATGAGAAAACCACACATTAAAGGCATCCAAATTAATAATCATTTTGCTGTTTTCAGACCTAGTGAGTGGCTTGTCCCATGTCCTCATATCATTAAGGAACTCTGGGCTTTTATTATGTTGTGAGAACCTGTTGCTCTGCAAATTACTTCATGCCAGACATGCTCTTGGTTTCCATTAATGTATTTATTTTTTCCTACTGTGTCACTTTTCCATCTTGTTTATCTCTTATATAGTCAAAGAAATATATTCAGTTTAGGGAGAGGAAAAAAATCATGAAAACAATGTTTATGTGATATGTATGTATATGGTCAGGATACTAAATAAGCAATTCTCATAATACATGGCACAATGAGCGTAAATTGTATATATACATTAATTTTAAAAAATGTTTGCATGTTTTAAGAATTAGAAACAATTGGTCCTTTCATGTTTTCTTTCCCTTTAACAAAGCTCCAGCAAAGTGACAAGCAAGCAGGACAGAAGAGTGAACATTTCCCAGAATCACTACAATGGACATGGCTTTTGTTGACCTTGTCAGCACCAAGGGAAAGCAAAGAGGAATAAACACTAGTGGAACTGACATGAAACTCTGTGAGTTTTGCCAGACAAAAAGGACAGGGCAAGAAATTTGCATGAGTAAAGCTGCCAAGGTCATTGCATAACGCATGTTCTCACACACAGGACTGTAGAGGGCAGAAGGGTTAAAATCTGAATGAAATCCATCCCTAAATGTTAGAATCTGCAGGAAAGAAGCGTGGTGGCTTAGGGACTAAAAATGTACCATATTTAAAACAGAAAATACATGGACAATATTTGTGTATGCACATATACAGCGGAAACAAAAACCAATTATAAATCCACTTTGCTACAGAACTATCACTGATGGGACCTTATCAGTGCGTGTAAAATTATTATATGTGCACACCTCAGCAAAGAGTCTGAAAAGTGCTTTAGGAAAGCATGGATGAAATCCATCCATATGTAGTACTATAGCTCCTCTTTGGGATCTGCAATCCCTTGAGAATGTAGTTTCAGTCAAGAAAAGAGCTTAGCATGCTAAATGTTCCCAAGTCTGTCTCCACTCATCGAGATAGTAGCTAAAGGACTAATCAGAGCAGAGAGTGCTGCTCCCTATGGCAGCGTCACATATTCCAGTTCCACTGGTTAGATGGGCAACCACATACACTTAGTAGACAGATGGACAGATGGATGGCTAGATAAATATTCAGTTGCTCCAAAGAGTCACAGTATCAAAACCAGGGTCCTTGGTCCTCTGGGGTCCTCCCGGAGTTGAACATTCATCATCTAGTCCTGCAATTTACCTCCAAGAGCACAGGATCATCTAACCTGCATGGCAGTCTCATCACTCCCTGATATGCAGAGAATCAGAGAATTGGAAGGGACTCCTTGCTCAGTGCAGGAATCCAGATAAAGCCATCCCAGACAGATGGCTGTTTAGTCTCTGCTTGAACACATCCAATCAATAAAAGATCACTGGTTTCACTGTCAAACTGCTCTTATGGTCAGGAAGTTTTTTCTAACATTCAGTTGAAACTGGCTTTAACGGCAGCCTCTAAACATGACTATTCTATTTAACAATCCTTGGCTAAGAATCACTTAGTCCTCTGTGAAAACGTCTAATCTTCTTTAAAAGCCATTTAAAACTGGAAGCTGTCACCATACCTTAGGGCAATGAGTTAAAGTACTTAATTACACTTGTGCTGCATTTACATATCATGCCACACCACAGTTTGTTATATATATGGTTTGTTAAACAAGCTACAAACAAACAAATCAGACTCATGAAGAAATAAAGTAATCAGAAGTTGGCTAATTCCTGGTTTGTTTTTCTTGTTTTAGCTACTCTTATTCAGCAGCCCTGTGGATAGACTGCATAGAAAAAATAGAATACATAGAAAAAGCCAGGAAATACAAACAACTTATATATCCCCCATCTGCATTTCACGGTTTGCCATACTTGGAATGGTTTCATGTTGGTTTAATGCTCCAAAACAAATCACGATTTATTTATTGACCACCAACTCAGTGTCACACATCACCCTAAGCCAAAATCAAAATAACCAGCCATATTATGGCGCAGAGTAATGCATCATTCCCCCATCAAACTAAATGCTTCCTTTTTATTTGTCCTACTCCTCTTGACTTTTATGACATTCACCTCTTCATTTCCTTGAAAAGGAAATCCTCAACTTCTTTTCAGGTATGTCCTCTTGAAAGTTAATTTCTCTAAGAGTA